TTGAGATATTATTTGTAAGAAAAAAATGAATGAAAGAGAGACTGTATGAATGAATCAATGAAGGCGTGAATGAAGGCTGAACTTGCTTTTGGCTCAGGGCACTTGCGTTTGCTGGTCCCTGGTTGGGGACTGTCTTCCCCCACATTTTTACATGACTTGCTTCCTCAACACTCTCTTCAGTTCCCAGCTCAAGTGTCACCTTATCAGCACCACCTTCACTGGCCACCCTATGTAAATAGCAACTACCCCTCCAGCTGTCACCTCCACCTCCTGACCTGCTCCAGTTTTTTTCACAGCACTTTACCACCCCCTGACATACAGTATATTTGCCAGTTCATTCATCCTGTCCCTCCACGGGAACCCGCACCCCACGTGAGCAGAAGCCTGTTCCGCCCTGTATGCTGCTGCAGCCCCAGTGTTGTAAGTGCTCAATTAATATCTGATCCAGGAATGAACTTGACTGTTAAACACAGTCATAGAGATCAAATTCCTTCCTTACCTTTTCTCTTGTTTTGCCTGGAAAAATTAAATAATTTTATCAACGCTTTAAACAGTGCTGTGTTCCAAAAGTATCATCTTTCTGTGAAAAAGCTATGAGGTTGTCTTTTCTTTTATGTCTTTTTCCTGTGCACAGAGGATGGGGTTTTGTTGGGATATGTCACTGCTTTTTCCCATCTGCAGAAGTGGGAGATAAAACAGCGTGTCACACAGGGAGATCAGCTCGGTGCTTTGTGACCGCCTGGAGGGGTGGGATAGGGAGGGTGGGAGGGAGGGAGACGCAAGCGGGAAGAGATATGGGAATGTATGTATATATATAACTGATTCATTTTGTTGTGAAGCTGAAACTGACATACCATTGTAAAGCAATTATACTCCAATAAAGATGTTAAAAAAAAAAAAAAAAAAAAAACAGCGTGTCCAATCTCTCCTCAGTGAGCTGAAAGGTTAAAAGAAGTGCTTTCTACCCCCTAAGAGGAAGGTGTTTTGACTCTCTCCACTTCTACTTTCCTCCTCATGACTCGATTTTGGTGGTGGTTTGGAAGTTAAGTGAAAGATTGTTTTAGCCACTATAATATTGGAAGAGCGAAAAGAAACTCTGAAGGTTAATATTTACTAGCAGGACAAAAGAGTTGCAAACAGCTCAACTGGAGTTTTCCGTGTCTCCTGCGATAACTCACAATCAAAATTCTTTCACTGTAACGGAGGGCCCTTCACTATCTTATACAGGCTCTTTTTTTGTCTTAGATAATTAGAGAAAGTACTCGTTTCAAGATAGCACTGAAACATAATACCGTAATAATATTCATTGCAATGGAATTTTACCTTTATGATAATATTATCTAGTGGCAACCAATCTCATTCCCCAATTCTCTGTGTCTCTAATTACTTGGAGAAACATTCTAACATTGTGATATTTAAGGGTAGGTCCTATGTGACTAGGGTGTTAACAGACTTTAATGCAGAACCTTCGGGATTAAAATAAACGATGAGCGACTGAGTACACGCTCAAAGCTGAAATAGTAATAATACTTTATATGACACTCCACTTTTCTCACTTTTTCGTCACCACCGTCTCTGCATTAGAAAAAAGTCAGAATTGGAAATTTTCCCCAAATTACAGGAGAGATTCCAAGATCAATAACATCTTACATTCACACAGCTAGAGAAAATACGGCCAAGACTCGAGCCCGGGTCTTTGGGCTCCTATGACCTCCTCAACTGGCTCTCAACAGCCCAGAAAAATGGAAACCGTGCCATGCGCTATAGGCTCTCCCCTTCAGGATCTAATTGCTGGATCTCCAAGTCAATAACATATCACAGTTTGGACCATACTGAAAAAAGGAAGAATTTGTGGAGACAATTCAAGATGAGAGCAAAACTGGCAACTGTGACCCAGCCCAGGCCTGTGACTTCGGGGGAGAAAGCCCTGAATCACATACTGAACAGAGGGAAGAAGTCCCCAGATGAGCTAGCTGCCAGAGCAGGCTGATTTGGGGTCCGGCCAAGCATTTACTCTGAAACCCTCATGGATTATTCAGTAGTAAATCATTGTTTCTCTTCTTAAATTCTTTCTCCGCAAAGAGGAGTTATTTCCTTTATGATTAATAGTTCCCCGAAACTATTCATGTGGGTGCATTTCTTTATCGCCTCTCTCTCCTCTCTCCCTGCCCCCCTCCTCCCCCCTTTCCACATCCCACCTCCCTCTTTTCCCCTATTTCGTTCTTTTTTATCACAGCTTTTAAATCCTCATTCTTGCCTGGGATATTACTTTTTATTACTGCGTTAAAAATTACCACAAAGTTGGCATCTTAAAACAACACAAATTTATCATCTCGAAGCTTCTACATGTCTGAAGACTGGGCAGAGCATAAATTCTCTGTGCGGGGTCTCATTGGGCTGAAATCAAGGTGCCAGCTAGGGCTTCAGTTCTCATCTGAGTCGTCTTCCAAGATCACTGTTTTTTTGGAAGAATCTGTGTCCTTGAGGCCATTGGACGGAGATGCCCCTTTTCCTGCTACCTGTCAACCTAGAACTGCTTTCCCTGGCAGTTCCTTGTCATCTGCCCCCACTGTCCATTCACAACACAGTGTTTGCTTCCTTCCAGAGCAGCTGGAGTCTGTCTTTTTGACCTCCTCTTGTACAACCAGCTGGAGAAAGCTCTTTGCTTTTTAAAGGACCAATGTGATTAGGTCAGGTCATCCACTGTGCCATGTAGCATAACCTAGTCACTGGATTAAAGTCCATCAGAGTCCTAGTCCCAGCACCGATGCAGGGCATGCGTACAAGGAGCATGGGAAGTCTTGGGGACCATCTTAGAATTGCGCCTACCGTATTTAGCTTCGTACTCCATCTGTGTAGCATGTTGTACACATCAAAATGTTTTCTTTTTCTTTCCAGGACACGATTCTGCCCTCCTATTTGAACCACTCTTCATTTGTCCTCTGAGAAGCCAGTTTCTTGAATCTCCCCTTTCTCCTTCCACACTTCCCAAGCTTAGAGGGTATGATATTGTATTACTTATATTACTTCTCTCTCCTCCATAGGACTTAGCACCGTGTCTTACCAGCGAAGATGTTCATTATGTGTTTGTGGGATGAGATTGGACTGGTTCGAATCATTGCATGTCTTTGAGAAATTAGGCAGTTAGCTAGCAGACTATTTTTTTTTTACATCTTTATTGGAGTATAATTGCTTTACAATGGTGTGTTAGTTTCTGCTGTATAACAAAGTGCATCAGCTATACATACACATATATCCCCATATAGACTGCTTTATTGCACTTCCAGGCCTCAAGGACCGAGCAACAGTCATCTGAACCTCTGGCAGTCAGCTCGCTGGACTGACACTGCAGTTACCTGTCTAGGTTGCTAGGAGAGAGCTCCCAACCAACTGACGATTCTACGATTTCATCAAATGCAAGGGGCGGTCAAGAATGATCAGGGGGAAAAAGGCCTCTTTATAAAGAGTGCATTAAACTCTCTACCTCTTTTCCATTTCATGCTCACTCATTGTATTTTTTTTAATGTACTTTAAAAATCTTTTTGAAAGCAACGTCTTTTCTATTCAAGTGGAATAATGTGATTCACCCTGCACTGCCCATGGTCCCTACTGTGCTTCCAGGGGATACAGCAAAGGGCTACTTTCCTTTACAGCCTTTGATTTGTTCCTTCTACATCCTGTAATTTCCATCCACACCCAACAGCCAAGTGCTGTGTGGGGCTAATTAAACACTATAATTATCCATGAGTTATGGCCCAGAAGCAGAGAGAAAATCTAACACATGTCTGATTGTAATATCAGGTAAATACTCAAGATATGTGACTGGTGAAATGCAAAATATTCTGTTCATTTAATATTCATGATGAATAGTGAATTAGTCTAATCACATTAGCTATTCTATTCATTTATTAGGTGAGAGTGATTAGATGTGAATAACTGTGGAAAAAAACCCTCTCAAGTTGCAAAAATTAGACTTCTATAGTTTTATTATGTTTATTTTCAACTGAGGGTAATTGTCTATAGATTTCTCTGAGACTAGTCTACACCCCTCCCTTATCTTTGCCCCTTGAAAAACTGAGTGCAGATTACAAGGGTAGAGAGAGCAGATGAGACAATGCAGATCTGGCATACAAATGCTCACATAGATTGTACAAACATCTGAAAATACTGCATATCAACATTGCACTTGCAAGGATATAACCATACTATTTTTTCTTTTATTTTTTTTATTGTGGTATAATTTACATACAATAAAATGCATAAATCTTGCCACTATGGAAAACAGTATGGAGGTTGCTCAAACAGCAAAAATAGAACCACCATGTGATCCAGCAAATCCACTCCTGGGTATATATATATCCAAATAAAATGAAAACACTAATTCGAAAAGATATGTGCACCCCAGTGTCCACAGAAGCATTATTTATAAGAGCTAAGATACGGAAGCAACTTAAGTGTCCTCAACAGATGAATGGATAAAGAAGATGTAAAAAAAAAAAAACAGAAATGAGAAGAAAACCAAAAAAAGAGGTGATATATGTATACATATAGCTGATTCACTTTGCTGTACAGTATAAACTAACACAATATTGTAAAGCAACTATACCCCAATAAAAATTTAAAAAAAAAGAAACTAGAAAAAAATACACACACACACACAATGGAATGTTACTCAGCCATTAAAAAAATGAAATTCTGCCATTTGCAACAATATGGATGGACCTAGAGGGTATTGAGCTTAGTGAAATAAGTCAGACAGAGAAAGACAAATAGTGTCTGTTATCACTTATATGTGGAATCTAAAAAATAAGACAAACAAATATAACAAGACAGAAACAGACTCACAGTTACAGAAAACAAACTAGTGGTTACCAGTGGGGAGAGGGAAGGGGGAGGGACAAGATAGGGGCAGGAATTAAGAGATGCAAACTACCATGTATAAAATAAATAAGCAACAAGGATATATTGTACAGCACAGGGAAATATACTTTTTTTTATTCTCAAGAAGAAAAAAACCCACTATATTTATTTAGTTTAACATTTACCCAGATCTAAAGAAAAAGATTTCAAAAGATAACCTAGGACATATACCTACGCATGCACCCCCTGACCCAGATAACCTAAAAGAAAAAAATAAGGGCAAAGTTCTGTCCAACAGATAAATTTATCTTCGCTTCTGGAAGATGTTTCCACGTCCTCTCCCTCTTGCAGCCTCTTGGGCCTTCAGAATAGCAGCATTTCCCCGACCGGCCCTGAGCCTTGGGTTTATTTTTCATGCTCTTTAACATGGGTGCGTTTTTCAGCACATTAGGCAAAATCGGAAAGCGGATCTTGCTGCCATGGATGTACACCTGCTCCAGCTGTGCCACTCGGCCATCTCTGTACGTGACTGTGATGTCGGACATCCGGCAGTTCATGTTGTCCTCGGCTTCAATGAGCTTCCCTCGATACACCTCACCAGTGTTCATCTCCCATGTCACGATGTGACCCTCAGCCTCATGTAGGACTTTAATCGCATGCCAACAGACATCTCGGCAGGAAGAGAGTTCGGCTCTGGTCTCCTCTTCCTTTCTGGTGGGGAGGTGACTCTCGCGACTGTGAAGGCGTGAGGCGAGTGAATGGCGGGTCCTGCCTAGACATTATTTTGCACTAACTTTAAATGGAGCATAATCTATAAAAATATTGAATCACTGGGTTGTACACCTGAAACTAATATGATATTATAAATCAACTATATTCAATAAAAAAATAAAACTTAAGTGTACAGCTCAATGAATTTTTACCTAAATAGATACCCGTATAAGATATAGTTCAAGATCGACATTTCCTAGAAATGTTCCCTTGTTCCCCTTCTCAGCCAATACCTACCGCCTCCCCAGAGGTAACGACTATTCTAACTTCTATCTCCATACACTGGGTTAGCCAGTTCCTAACTTCATCCAAATGGAATCATATAGTCCCATAATACTTTTTAAAGAACTGTATGTATAAAGTCATTTTAATAGAGAAAAGCAAAACAAAGGGGAAAATCTATTATCCCACCACCACCACCACCAAAAGTGAAAAAAAGAAAACCTTCAAGATTAAAACAATTGATATATACATATCATTAAATATTTCAGACACAACAGAAAACGATTTGGGAAAGCCTTCACTTTTCAAGAGTTGTCTATTACTAAGCAAACCCTGCTGGATCTTCCCCATTGGTTCCTTCAGATCCCCTCTCCATCCTTCTGCAGCCTTCTCTGGGCCCCTGGAGGCTGGCCTTTGTGGGCTACATCAATGACTCCTGGCTACCTTGTGTCTACCTGGGAACTGAAAAGGATAGCACTAGCCATAGATGGGAGGGCAGCAGTGAGCTAGGCGGGCATGGTCATTCCCCTGACTCTCCCTGCTTCACCTCAGGCAGCCTCTCCTAAAGCTAGCTGCTCTCCCCAAGAGTAGGAATGGCCTTTCCCCTTGCCTCTTAGGCCACGCTGGTTACACTTCCCAGCTTGGGCTTGCCGCTGATTGCTTCAGCACCTCTGGGTTGCTTTCCTTCATCCTTCCCATGCCTTTGCAAATAACCCCTTCATTAAACTCTACTCCACTTGAATGTGCTGTCTTCTGCCACTGACTACCGTCCACATTAAGTTTTTTTTTTTTTTTTTGCAGTACGCGGGCCTCTCACTCTTGTGGCCTCTCCCGTCGCGGAGCACAGGCTCCGGACGCGCAGGCTCAGCGGCCATGGCTCACGGGTCCAGCCGCTCCGCGGCATGTGGGATCTTCCCGGACCGGGGCACGAACCCGCGTCCCCTGCATCGGCAGGTGGACTCTCAACCACTGCGCCACCAGGGAAGTCCCACATTAAGTTTTAAATAGGGTTTTTAGGAAATACTTTTGCATCCATCATGTGCATAGGCTATACAGTGCTTTGTGGGTGATAAACTGTTTCTACAGGTTTGCTTTATTAGCTACCTCCTTCTAATCAAAGGACACTTACATCATTCACATCCCTAATTCATCCAATCTTTAAGCAGAACAAGGAGACTTGTCTTCAGGCATGAGCAGGTAAAACCAACATCACTACAGTAGAACTGAAGCCCAAGGTGGATGAGAAAATCGTCAGAAAACAACTAACTTATTTTAAGTGTCCAGATCCCTAAATCCAGGCAAACTGCATCCTGGAGTGTGAAGATACTCAGAGGTGCTGTCAGAGCCACCATCTTTTTTAAAGAACTGTGCAAAGAACCAGAGATGTTTACTGTGAAATAGCAAAGACCTGAGAGGAGGGGACGGGACAGCTCTCTAGGGATGAGACCATCTCTGAGGCTCCAGAGGATGAGTTCACAACCAGGCGGTGGAGGTTACAGTGAATGTGGCTCATGGCCTGTCAATTTCACTTGATTCATTCACTTATTCAACAAATAATTACTGAGACTCTACCACCTGCTGGGCACTGTACTCAGCGCCAGTATAATAAATATAACAGTAAACAGAGACAAAGCTCCTGATGCCATAGCTTGTTTTTATGGGAATAGACAATAAGTAAATAAAGGAATATATAATACGTCAAGATTGATAAGCACCGTAAAAAAGTAAATCCAGGTAAAGAGGGTATAAGGAGGTGAAGGAGGGCGCTCCCTTTTATATAGTGTGGTCAGGTTCAGATGTCTGAGAAGGTCTCTCCTCTGAATGATCAACTTAGATATCTGGGTGGTGGGGTGGAGGTAGGAATTCATGTGGATACACAGGAGAAAAATGGTCCAAGTGGAGAGAACAGCATCTACAAAGGTCCTGAGGTGGGTGCATATTTCACCATGTTTGGGGAATAGCAAGGAGATGATGACTGAAGTCAGACCATCGTACCCAGCGGTGAATAAGGAAATTGGTAGAAACTAAGCTTCCACCTTAATCTACTGGAGACAGATTGTGTAGGGTCTTGGGCCCTTAATAGTACTTTGCCTTTTGAGTGAGATAGGAAGCTATTGGAAGATACTGAGCAGAAGAGAGATATGATATGACTGCCTTGTGTAGAATAAACTATAGCTGAGTGGAGGAGGAAGTAAGGAGACAGTTAGGAGGCTGTTAACCCACATGAGGGAGGATGGTGAGCTGGACTAAACTCAGGGTGTCAATAGAATGGTTAGAAGTGGTTGTTAGACTGGATATATTTTTGGAAGTAGAGTCAATAGCATTTGACATTGAATTGGAGGTAGGATGTGGTAACAAATGATGTGTCAAAGATGATCTCAAGGCTTTAGAGAAGAGAAAATTATAGCATGTAATTGTCATTTATTGAAATAGGAAAAACTTCACAATAGCAGATTTCAGGGGAAAATAAGAAGTTTGGTTTGGGATGTGATAAATTAGAGACATCAGTTAGACATCCAAGCAGAGTTGTTAGGGAAGCAATTGGCTATATGAGTCTGGCTTTCAGGAGAGAGGGCCAAAATGGATATAGAAACTGGGGAGTTATCAGTATATGAATGGTATTTAAAATCATGGGATTAGATGAATCCCTCTTTCCCACCCCTAAGTTTGTGTAAACTGAGCCCTGTGGCACTCAAAGATTTTGAGGTCATAAAGAGGAAAAGGAACCATACCAAAAAAAAAGGATTGAGGAGGAACTGCTGGTGAAGTGGGGAGAACCCAGAGGGAGTGGTACCCCAGGGACTAGTGAAGAAAGTGCTTCAGGTGATCAACTGTAGCTAAGGTTGCTTACAGTAGACCAAGCAATATGGTGCCTGAGACATCTATCCAGGGTAAACTCTAGTTCAAAAAGATACATGCACCCCAATGTTCATAGCAGTGCTATTTATAATAGCCAAAGCATGAAAGCAACCTAAATGTCCATCGACAGATGAATGGATAAAAAAGATGTGGTGTGCATACACACGTATATACACATATGTGTGTGTGTGTGTGTATATACATATTACTCAGCCATAAAAAAGAATGAAATAATGCCATTTGCAGCAACATGGATGAACCTAGAGATTATTATACTAAGTGAAGGAAGTCAGACAAATACCATATGATATCACTTATATGTGGAATCTAAAAAAATGATACAAATGAACTTAATTACAAAACAGAAACAGACTCACAGACATAGAAAACAAACTTACGGTTACCAAAGGGGAAATGGGGGGATGAATTGGGAATATGGGATGAACAGATACACACTACTGTATGTAAAATAAACAACAAGGACCTACTGTATATCACAGGGGACTATATTCAATATCTTGTAAAAACCTACAATGGAAAAGAATCTGAAAAAGAATGTATATATATATATATATATATATATATATATATATATGTGACTGAATCAGTTTGCTATACACATAAAACACTGTAAATCAACTACACTTCAATTAAAAAAAATAAATTTTTAAAAAGAAATTTCAACATACCTTAAAAAAAAAGATAGTGCCTGAGAATCATCTGTAACTTCTGGCAATGCCAAGTTCTTTTGTGACCTTGACTAGAGCCATAGAGGAGTCACAGGAACAAAAACCCACCTGGAGGGAGTTCAAGAAAGAACTGGAGGGACAAAGAACAAAGAGGAGCCATGGGAACAAAGACCCCCCCCTGGAGGGGCCAGAATGTATAGACAACTCCGTCAGTGGGTTTTGCTGTAGTGAAGAAGACAGGGATGGGGTAGTAACTATAGGGGGTGTGGGGTGAAGGAAGATGCTTTGGGTTGGTGGTCTGGCTCAAAGATGGGGACTATTCCACCATGTTTTCAGGTGGCAGGAATGATCCAGTAGAGCAGTGTTACATGTTGATATGGGGGACAGAGGGGAAACTGCTCAGGGCACATCCTTGAGTAGGGTAGAGGATAGGAGTCCTAGTGTACAAGTAGGAGGGGTTCTGTAGAGCCAACCAGAGCCATTCTTAGCTTATCTGCTTTATATTTTGCAGTTCCACAGAGACTTTCACCAGCGGAAACATGAGTGTTTAACAACTGATGTAAAAAAAAAAAAAAAATTGATAACTATTTGCTTTAGTTCTCTCTCACATGTTTTTCTGAGTCATTTTACCCCCATCTTACTAATAAGGAAGGCTCATAAAAGTTATATGACTTGGGATTAACATATACACACTACTGTATATAAAATAGATGATCAACAGGGACCTACTGTATAGTACAGGGAACTCTACTCAATATTCTGTAATAACCTATATGGGAAAAGAAGCTAAAATAGAATGGATATATGTATATGTGTAACCGAATCACTTTGGTGTACACCTGAAACACAACATTGTTAATCAACTATACCCCAATATAAATAAAAATTAAATTAAAAATAACAACAAAAGTCATATGACTTCATCAAGTTCTCAAAGCTTATATGAAAACCAGGTCCCAAGCTAGTTCTGGCTGATTCCAAAGACCATAAATGTTCCACGACATCGGAGCCTAGAATACCCCCAGAAGGTCCACCAGCTAACGAGAAAGGGACGACATCATCTTAAGATGCCAGGCAAAGAAAAGCACAACTATGTAAACCTAGAGAATCCCACACGCAAGCATTGAGGAAGCAAGAGTAAGTTACAAGCCTGGCCCCGATGCAGTGAAGCCTTTGGGGAAGATGTGGTTCACCTGATAGATGGTAAAGGCAGAGAGTGATGGAGGCATCACCATTTGACAACATGATAGGAAGATCCTGAGAGGAGCTGGTCTCCAACGTAGGGCTGTTGAATCCCAAGTGGATGGGAGGGAGCAAATGTTTGCACTTGAAAGTGGGGTGGTGGAAGTTGAGAAAAGCATTGTGGGGCTTCTTTGGGTTTCCAGTCACTTCAGTGAACACTTATTAAGCCCCTACTATGTACACAGCACAGGACTTCATGTTCAGGAAATGAAGAAGAGCAGTCCTCCTTCCAGAAGTTACACAATGAACAATTCGAATTCACATAAGATTTCTAAATACCTGTATCAGTCAGTGTTCCCCAGAGAAGCAGAATCAATAATACATAAATAGAGATATAGATGATATATATAGATATAGATCAGATAAATTTATTTCAAGGAATTATAGGGCAGGCCAACAGTCTAGAAACTCGGGCAGAAGTGGATGCTGCAGTCTTGAGGCAGAATTTTTTTTCTTCTCTGGGAAACCTCAGTTTTTTTTCTTAAGACCTTCAGCTGATTGGATGAGGCCCACCCACGTTATCCATGGCAATCTAGTTAATCAACTGTAGCTGGTAACCACATTTACAAAATACGCATGGGGTCAACACCTGGATCAGTGCTTGATTAAATAAGTGGGTACTCTGGCCCAGCCGAGCTGATACACAGCGCTAAGCATCACAGTATCCTATCCGTTCCCAGTTTATTCCATAGAGGCCAAAAGCAGGTACTTTAGAGACTTTTGCCTTTTAGAATTGCTGTTGCTTGATCAGGTGTTGAGCTGTAGACCAGTGAGGGGTCAGAGAAGGAGCTGTCTCCAAGCCTTGGTACTGTTAAGGGTGGTTTATAAATGTTCTAATTCATTGTAATTAATTTTCATTGTGCAGAGGCAGAAGGCTGGCGGAATGAAAGGGGGTAATTTCACAAGTCAAAATAACAAATAAGTAAATACAAATAGTCCCCACTTCCCAGGAGCATATCACCATCTCCAGGTCTCACCACCCGGGATGGAACACAGCCCTGAGCCCCTGTTGCTCCCCGACCCGGCGCGCGCGCACACACAGACACAGACACACACAGACACACACAGACACAGACACACATACACACACACAGACACACACACACACACACACACACACACGAGAGATTCACCACAGGGCGGGCTGGGGAAGAGACGCCCTCCTTGGTTGCGCTTGTTGCAAACAATGAAACGTTGCACGGAGCCTCTTTGTTCATCTCCAGGCTCGGAGCCCTGGAGAACCAAGCAGTGCAGGCACGTATGCCGGATATTAAGTCTCATTTCAAAGCCGCTGAGCCGACGGCGTAACCTGACGGGTGACGTGGGAGTGGCTGCGTGCTGGAAGTGGCAGGCTGGGATCCGCTTTGAGCATCCGCGTGGAGGGACAGGAGATGCAGAGGAAGACGAGGCTCTGGGCTGTGGGGTATTTTCTTTTTCGGAGGGTGAGGCAGGAAAGGAGGACTTGACTTTCTCCGGCCTGAAATCCTGTGTTGGGGTTTCAGGAGTCTTGAGTAATGACTGGTGTAGGTTTCTCATGGAGGACTCATTTATCTAGGTGCCAGTGGGTGAGCCTGGCTTCCCAAGCTTGAAAATTTAGATTTATTGGGTGCCAGAAATTGGACTGGACACCATTTAATAGGCCCATGCACCATGAAGGTGAGGGTGGGAGGATAAGTGTCAAGAGGGCAGAATGGTTGGGGAAGGGGCTCAGTGTGAAGAGAAACAGCAAAATCTGATTAGTGCCGTAGAATGCTGGCCGCGGCGGGCAGGAAATACAAGACTCTGGAGAAACCGGTGGTTTCTGAACAGAGCCGAAATCAGATAAACCTTCGGGAAGAGAGAGATGGTGGAGAGGAAATAATTAGTCTCTTGGAACTTAAGGAAGGGACTTGTTGGAGGGGGTGGGGGGGAGAGAGAGAGAGAGAGAGAGAGAGAGAGAGAGAGAGAGAGAGAGAGAGAGAGAGAGAGAGAGAGAGAGAGAGAGAGAGGGAGGGATGGATGGAGAGACAGACTCCTGAAATCTACAGAAGGCAGAACTGCCTTCAGAAGAGGCAGATCGATAAGAAAGCCATTTGCTGGTTACAAAAAAAAATGCATATATCTTGTTCAGCCTCTTGCTCTGAAATAGAAGAAAAGCTTTGGGATTTATGGAATGTGGATTTACATAGAGAGGTCCTGGAATATATAAATACTCGGCTGACTTCTAATGTCAGCGAGAGAAAGGCCGAGGGAGGCACGTTTGCAGGAGGGAAAGAGCAGAGGGAAGTGAAATCCAAACCCTGGACTCCGTGCCTCATTCCCCAAGTGCACATGGGGAATTCATATCCCTTCTCCGCGTGCTTCAATTTCTTCATTATTTTTATCTGTTTTCTCCCTGGGGCTGGGGAAGCAGTGTAAAAATGATTTCTCAGGCTTTGAGACATTTAAACAGAAAACTGTGTAATGCAACGCAGCTGATCTGAATCTCTCTACTCACAAACATAGATGTTCATTCAATATTTATTGTGTTTCTTCTCAGTGCAAGGCACTGAGTTAGATTCATGGGTGGAGATGTGCATGGTAAGTACTTCATTCATTCAACAAATATCTGGGAGGAAAATCTTCCCGCAAAGCGCTCCCATCTTTGTGGGGATAGGTGGATAGGTAAATTCACATGCACGGCACGCCGGAGACTTGAAGGAGGGCCAACCGAATCAGAGAGAAGAATCACAGACACCTTCATGGAAGAGGTGACTTACACACAGGCTGTGGGCCCCTGGCACTCAGCGGTCTGCTGAAAATCACATTTCTCAGTCAACAACCCAGATGTTTGGGCTATATGTCAGCCCACATCTAGGCATTTGGAAATGCTTGGATTTCTGGTGATTAGATCCAAATGCCCACCAGCACTTGTAGAAAGGAGAGTATGCATGCACCTTGTAAATAATGCAAGCGTGGATTGTGTAATAATTGTTTTTATGAGCCATTCTTCTTCCACCAGGATGCAGATCATCAAAATTCTTCACTATTTATCATACATTAGTTTATCACTTGCCCTCAGTTACATGGTGAAATTTATATGTTTGCACATGACCAAGGTGGTAGGCCCCGTGGCCCAAGGCAATTAGATAAGGCCTTCAAGAAATCAGACTGTGAACAAGGCAGAAGTTTAATAAAATTTGCAACCCACAGCTGTCAAGCTACATGCAGCCCTGTGTTCACGAATATCACGCAAACATCATTACAGAATTGGTCAGGGTAAGAAGCGCTTTGCATCCCATTTTGGTGACAGATTTAAAGACTCTGTCGGGGTGTGTGTGTGCACGCATGCGCACATGTGTACATATACCTACAAACATGGGTATATCAGGATGCCTGCATACGTATATGGTGTATTTATATTGACGTCGGGATGTGCTAGAGGGAGGAAAGTGAAACTGCATAGGCAATGCTTCTTTTCAGCCATCCCTAGTCACTTGGTCTCTTCTTATTTCCCTCTCCCTAATCACCGTCTTATCCCACACAAAGCCCCAGACAGCTCGGAGCTCATGACCCTCACCTCAGTATTCCCCCTCCAGCTCCAGAGAAGCCTATGCTCTGATCCCTAATTCACATAAATGTCCTTCCCGTGAAATATTTTAATTTAAACCACTAGTGTAGCCAAAAGATAAAGTCCAGGTGATGGTAGAACTTTAGGAATGCATTGGCAACAAGTCAAGGGTGGATGTGGGGGTGAGAGGAACAGGAGAGATTTTCCTGATCGGGGGAAACGTACAAGAAAGAAATGATGATTCTGAACACCTGGAGAGGAGCCTCAGCACTTATCCCTGCTACATCCGGCAAAGCACTTGCATCCTCTTACTTGGAGTCAGTCTCTTTTCTGTCTCCCAGAGCCTTTTGCAATCACCTAAATAGATACTTATCAGATCGCACAGTCACTTATTAGTTACTTGTTTCCGGCCATCTCCCCCTCTAGAGGGTGAGCTCTTCGACCGAGGGGACCACGTCTTCCCAGGTTCTAGCATGATGCCTCGCTTGTAGTAAATGCCCCATTTGGAAAGCCTTCCAATGAATTTAACTATTCCGAGTCAGTTTCTCACCTGCAAAATGCAAGTTTCTCCCCTCATCCATCCATGTATTTACTTGCCATTTGCTGGACAACCTGCTAGGTTAAGTGCTGTAGGAAGCATACAAATACATAATCTAGTAACTTATCTAAAATAACATTCCCTGCCTACCTCCCAGTACCATAAGGAAGAACAAAGAGACTGTGTGTATGAACGAGCTTTGGAAACTGTACATGCTACCTGAGGTAAGGGGTGATCTTTATTCTTACTCATTACATGTGTCGTGCTGATGCTCTGGGCCCTCCTGGCCCTGCAAGGGTTATTTTTGCAGATTCCCCATCTCCCCTCTCTGTAGCTCCCAGCAGATGTATTAAGTGTAATCTTGGAACTGTTCCAGGTTCCCTCTTTAAGACTCAGAATGTTCAATATTTCCTGTGCACAGCAGGCTCTCTGGGCTGGCGTGATGCCAGGTGCTGTGAAGAGCTCACTCCCCAAGCATCCCTGGTGTCTGGGTCCCAGCCCCAACTTGTCCAGGCTATTCCATTGAGCCTGCTTGGGAAGCAGGGACAAAACCCCAGAAGCTGCTGCTGCAGCCCCACCAGCTTGTATCCAAGACAACCTGCTGTCCTACAACCTCTGAGGCACCAGCTGAAGAGGGAAGTCCCACTGCCCACAGCCCCTCTGCTTCCTGACTCAGCCTGAGCCCTGCAGGAGGCAAGTGGGGCGTTTGGGCTGTCCCAAGGCACTGGCTTGTTTGATGGTGGAATTAGAACTTTTGAGAGGTCAACAGGAAAATAGGTGAACAGTAGCAAATTGAGTCCCCCAGATGCTTGCTGAGCTAATATCATGGGACTTAACCCCACCTCGCCATGTGGCTGACAAGACCCCATCTGGTTCTGCAGTGAAAACTGCCTTCTTGTGACTGCTCAGGGCTAATGCCTCATCTTTCTTATGGCAGCAGCACAAATGGAGTCCATATCCTTCTCCAAAACTGATGGGGAGGGAGGAGTTCTAAGGGATCTTGGGGAGCACTTCCATGTGGACGCATGATCCCCACCCCTCCTCTTTCCTCCCTCTTTTAAATTAATTTGCATAATCACTTGCACTGGTTGAACACATGTGACACACTCAGGACTCATGTTTGCATCTAAACAGGAACCAGTTTTGTGCTTTTAAATGTAATCTTTTCCTGACTCTTTCCCCACCCTTTGTCTTTCTTTTCATTTGGTCTCCCATCCCCTCCTATTTCTTTTTTCTCCAACCCTCCCACTCTCGGTGAATTCCATGGTCACTGTGACCTCCCTCCATCAAATACCCACCCTCTTCCCCAACCACATCAATTCAATCGAACAAGTAGGTTCCACAGTAGAGAGGAAGGAAACTAAGATTCATTGAGCTCCTCTGAGGCACCAGGCAGTGTGTCAAAACGCAGAATACAGACAGACAAGCTCCCTTGCACACGCAGAGCTCACCTGTAGCCTAGGGGCCAAGCTGATGCTGCAGCACCTACCTAATGCCCAGACCTACTAAGGCAGGGAAGGCATATCCCAAAAGTACAGGGTAAGAGCTACAGAGGCCCTTAAAGGGCCTGAGATCCAGAGCCCAGCCAGTAGGAGATTCTCCCACAGAAGGTGACTGAGAAATGGTTACCTTTCCTTGTGGAAAGAATTGCAGCCCCAAGTTCAAGTTCAAGCTCTGCCTTTAACTGACCTTTGTTAAGCTGTAACCTCTTCTGCCCCTCAGTTTCCACATTTATAAACTAGGACAATTGAACCAAATAAACTGTTATATCTCCAGTTCTGAAATGCTTTGAATCTGTGAATCCTTTCCTGATCTTTGCTTTGTGACCCAAAAAACTGTGTTAAACTGATAAAACTGTATTAAAATGGACTGTGAGAACAGGTAGATGTCAGCTGTATTTTTGTCCATAGACCAGATCTCTGAATTCTTGTCATGATGGCGTGTTTGAGGCTATAATGGTTTGTAATCATTCTGGGTATATAGCATGTGTCTGACTACTAAAATCAGTGCTTCTCTCAGTATTAGCATCCACGTTATTTGGAAAAACAGACTGTTATTCATTGGGTAGACATCCTTACTGGAATCCTTTTCAGACAGAGCTTGAGCTGCTTGAACTAATGAGAGAGACCTTTTTTCAAAACCTGGAGGTCAGCAGATGTGGGCTTTATGGGAAAAGTGAAAGAATGGGGGAAATTCCATCACGGTCATGAACAGGCACTTCCAGTAAATTCTTATCCATCAAGGGAGAGTAACAGGTTGTTCTGGTCGTGGCAAATAGAGAATCTTTATAGATGCTGCATGGATTATCAATTTTCAAAGGTTGAAAGAAACATGGAAATATACCAAAAAGTTGCTATGAGTAAGTTAATCCTCTCTGAGGATTCCAAAACCCTTTGTATGGGCATCACATAGCAAATGAGAAGTATCAGATTTAGAATATAATTGTTGCTATTCGTCACAAAAAACAGT